AGAGACGGCGTTGGAGATGGGGTATATAAAGCGTGTTCGAAATAAACTTTGCAGCTGAGTTTGAGACGTTGCCTCCTCTTTTACTACCTTCTGTTGTGTTCCCTTTCTGCCCCAGTCTCAGGTTTACAATCATGTTCAACTTACACCATCTCGCCTGCACTCTGACTATTTTTTCATATTATCTACGTTTTTTTTTCTTTTTTTTTTTTCTTTTTTTTTTTTTTTACGGGGAGACAGAGGCGTCCGCTCAAACTACACATGACTGCAACATCTAAACTGGTGACGACGATGTTCAGCACACGCAGCTTTCCGCGTACATTGAAATCAATACGCGCGACTGACCGCCAAATGCTCGTCCCGGGGAATCGGTATAGACATAAACACACGCACAAAAAAGCCAACAGCAATTTTTTTTTTTTGTTTACTTGGCTAACACTACATTCTCACAACCTCCCGTATCTATAAGGCACCAGAATTCTGCCTGCCTCTAATCACTTTATCAGTCCCTGGCAGCTCAATAAAAGCAAGGCAGGGCTTATTGTATTTACGCCTCATGCTTCATGATCTGTTTTGCCGCGATGTTACCGGCCTATTCCGCAATGTCATTGAACGCCTGGGACTCGCCAAACCTCGCGTTTCATCCGTTGTCACTGACTATAATTCATAGTAAGACCTACAGGTATTCTGTCTTGATGGTTATGCATTGCCAATTGGTAAAGAGGCACCCACACATCTTGTCGCCAATACCGCATTGGGATCGGAGCACGATACCGATTGTTGTTCTTATGCGGAAAGCAAGTCGTCTGCTTCTTCGCAGCAGTTGCGGTGACGTTAGGAAGACGCTGAGCTCTGATTGGCTTTGATCGAAAGGATAGTGAGTAGACCTCAAAGCAGGGTGTAAGATAGACAGGTGGGGAAACGGCCCATAGAAGCCTACCGCAGCGCCGTGACCGGATTGTGTACTCGTCTGCTTGCTGGTACCCTCGATTTGCGACAGATGGCGCTGCGGCGAAAGGAAAAAAATTCGAATCGGATTTGCACGGAACTCTATGGGAGAGTGCGCAAAATAAACCGAGAGCACGACAGTCCTCCATCGAAAATGCACGAGAAATTGTCTCCGTCAGTTTCACTGGTCGCCACCGGACGCCCATTCGGCGTGAGAGTTCGTGGTGCTCCACATAGATGGCGCCACAGAAAAAGAGAAAACCGAGGGGGACACAATCCGGTCGCTCATTTGGCTCTCGTTTCCCCACCTGTCTATCTCACACCCTGCCTCAAAGCAAGCTGCCTTGAAGTCTACCCACTATCCTTTATTCAGAACCAATCAGAGCGCGGCGTTTTGACTTCATCCCAACCCTCCAAAAGAATCAGACGAACTTGCGCCCGCATTGGCTCGAGTGATCACAAAACGATCACAAATTTGTGTCGTTAGAACTCGCCGCTGTCAGTAGAGTATTTACACACTTGGATACCGTCTACTTTGATGAATTATACTATTGCGACCCGAACACAAATTTGTGACCACCAAAAATCGTGTTCCGTTGGGTATGAAATCGTGGATGTCTGTTGAAACTATACGTCAAAGCAATCTCAGTTAAGAAGAACGCGGTCAATCGTGTATAGAGTGGTGTTTCAGCCGTAAATGTTTTTAACCGTGTGATAAGGTGTTGAACTGGGCGAGTTGGTAAAAGTTTGACATGGTGGGTGTAACAGCTTCAAGAAACGAGGAAGGTGAAAGGAACAGACGAGACAGGACAATAGCTGTACTCGCAACTAAAATGTTTTATTTGGAAAGGAAAAGAGAACACATACGTCAGTACCAGATAACACAGTGTGTAATCAAACAATACGCCCTTCACAAGGCACGTGTCATTAAAATAGGTTCACTCGACGCAACCATGCCAGCCATGGTCTGGCGCAAAAAGGACAGCTCCTTATTACATAAGGCCCAAGCAACGGCTCACTCACACATCTTTCTCCGAGGCACAAAATGTAAAAAGCCTGAATAATTTCAGAGTCTGCACGTGTCAGCCGGCCTTTGACGAGGTGACGGTTGAAGGGAGGCATAGAGAAAGGGCCACTCGCGAAATTATTAAGGCTTTTTATACTTCGTGCCTCGGAGAAAGATGTGTGAGCGAACCGTCGGTTGGGCCTTATGTGATAAGGAGCTGTTCTTTTTGCGCCAGACCATGACTGGCGTGGGTTGCGTCGAGTGAACCTGTTTTAATGATACGTGCCTTGTGAAGGGCGCATTGTTTGATTACACACTGTGTTATCTGGCACTGAAGTATGTGTTATCTTTTACTTTCTAAATAAAACATTTCAGTTGCGAGTACAGCTGTTGTCCAGTCTTGTCTGTTCCTTTCATCGTCCTCGTTTTTTGAAGCTGTTACACGCACCGTATGTCAAACTTTTAACCGTGTCTCCATGAGGTGCGGATTGGTTTTAAACCTGCGACCGAAATGCTCTTACAGATGATACCAGTCGGTAAGCCTCGAATCGATCTGAGCCAGGAAATGCCGGTTTGTGCAGCCGAAATTGAGATAAAAACAAACCGAATGCGCTGATAACGAAACGGAAGACGCCATTCTACGTACAGATTCACTGCAATACGACAAAGAAAAAAAGATGCATATTTTTCTCCCCAGTTTGGATTGCGAATCATAAGTACGCTGTGGCAGTTCCTTTTGTTTAAAATAAAGCTACGCATCCGTTAAAGAATGTCATGATGATATGAAACGTGAACTGACGCGGTTCTGTATTTGAGAAAAAACACTTAAGTCGTCTTCCTTTGACCTGAACGATTACGAATATCCAAACTAAATAGACCGATCTCATCGGCCAGTTTGACTGCGCCACCGCTGCCGCAATGCATCGAGGGAGCTTTAGTCTTTCTGCACGTGTGACAACCTCGCTGGAGCTCTGCGCGTGTGGAGCACGAGCCCTCTCGTGCTCTGCCGTTTGCCTCCTGTGAACTAAAGTTATGGCGGCGTCACGCATGCGCCGAACGCTTAGTGAGATCGGTCTATTCAGATGGATGCACCAGGTAGCCACAACAGCACTTTCAAAATAGTGCTGAAGCCCCAGATAAAATTTCTTAGTTCGGAGCTATCTCCCCCGACGTTCCCGACAGCGACGACGCACCCTTGACGGCATAGTGCTCCTCTTTTCCACCCCCTTTTCACCCCCCCCCCCCCCCTTTTTTTTTTTTCCTGTATTTAAGCAAACTCTTGGTGCCACCTTCCCGTAAGGGGAGGAAGTGGCCGAGTGGGCTAACGCTTCTCAGCTCGGAGCGTGGAGCGAAAGCTTGCGCTGGGAACCTCCTGGGTTCGATCCCCGCCGCCCCCGCCCGTTTCGATCTGGATGAGTTTCGTACCGGCACGCGTTCGTGTGATCACTACTGCGTGATGCACGTTAAAAATCCCAGGTTAGCGGTTGTACCGCACTGGCTAAATTTCTCATCTACAGCTAAGAGACCGATTACCCGTTGAGGCGGATCTCCATCAAGGCTGTATAAACATAAAGAGCAAGCCCATTTTTTTTACCTTCCCGTGGCGTTCGGTGCGAGGAGAGAACCGTGACGCATTATACAGAGATCTCAACATTTCCGCGCTTTCCGCAAAGCCTTACCCGAGCAGTCAATAGGGATTTCAAGCAAACCGTTAGCGTGTTCCGCGTATCGCACTACCGAAACCTTTAAAGCATGTTTTTCAAGGGGTAATCACACGCGCGCATCACGCACGCGCATCTCACGATGAAAACGTCAGGCTTTGCGATGTGCAAAAGCCTCGCGTTTTTATCTCGTGATGCGCGCGTGCCGAGGAGATTTTCCCTCGTGTGAATACCCCTTGAGCGCGCGCCACGGGATTACGGTATCACCCGGGCGTGCGTTAAAAACCAGGCTTCAAAGGCTCCGGTAGTGCGTCACGCGGAACACGGTAACGGTTTGCTAAAAGTCCCTAATTACACTGCACGCGTTCCCTCAAAAACGTTAGGCGCAAGGCAGTTAAAACCTTTGGGTATTACGTCAAAGCCAGCGGTTCTTTTTTTTTTTTTTTTTAGTTTTTCTTATGTATTTTGATAAGTTAGGGTTAAACGCCCGTGATTTTCGAATTCACAGGACAAAAAAATACGCTAAAATGTACCTCTAGCTCTTTTTTTTTTCTTTTTTTTCAAGAATTTTCTTAGTTTTCTTTATTTGCTCGGTTAAATATATCCGCCTAAATTCAATTGACTTATGAAAAAACTGAACAACAACAAAAACTTGGTTTTGGGGAGAGTTCAGTGCAAGCAACGCTGCATCCTCGTGGCTCGCGAATCTCCACAAAAATTCATATATCTTCATAAAATTATTATGTGCCTAGAGTGCGGACTACGCACTTGGATCATCCGTCGACTACAAGCACAGGTGTGTTCTAACGCGACTCCAGCTGTGCTCTCGTTCATAAACGTCATGAAACGCATTCGTCAGGCAACAAAAAACAAAACAGAAATGGTAAAAAAAAATGTTATTAGAACATATCCCCGTTTCATTTCAAGATTCCATCGGAAATCTAGACCACAGTCAACTAATCTATGTAAAACCGAAGCCTCTCCAATACTTACAGTGAGGAAAAGGGAATAAGTAAAATAGAGCAAACAGTTAAACGGGTTGGCGGAGTCGTTCCATTCTCAAGATCAATAAAAGTCAACTCTCCAATGAAGGATCCATAACGGTTCGATGAATTCGATTACTACAATCCTGGACTTCTGAAGGCATCTAGCCCGACGAGGACCTGCGTTCTCTCGTACCTCGCCGCGAAACACGCCTCGTTCAACACACGCACACACACACAATCACAGGCCTCGACATCATCGCATCATCCTCGAACACGAAGGGACAAGAATGGACATCCAACCCTATATAATCCAGACAACATGTTGATCAGTTTTCCTTTTTTTTTCCTTTTTTGTTGGACACCCTAGAGTGTCCCGATGTCGCCAGGGGACAGACAACTCACCGTAGGTCCTCGAGTAATTCCACATCCTGCTGATGCTTCGTCTGTAACTTGGTGATCTGTTCGTTGTGGATGTTCCTCAGCTGGGTGTACGCCTTCACCTGAAAAATAAAAAGCAAAACAAAGTTCGCTAATCCATTGGAGACCCGTAATCCCTGCACCCGATGATCTGAGATAATCCAAAGGTTCGGATGAAGTTTGAAAACAAAATATAACCACGAACTTTGTGGATAGAAAAGGAACGTTTGGAGAGTCGACTTAATATTCTGGGGGATAATTGCTGGGAATAATTTTGTTTTTATGTAGAGACGTCAGAAAGAACTAGCGCAGAAAGACGACGGGGTCACGAAGGGCTGTCCACCTTTCGGGGAGGAGGTTGCATCCTGAAGTATCCTGAGCAGTGGTACGAGGGCTCGAAGGTTCTCGCGACGTTACCACCTTATCGAGAAGCTAATATCGCCGCAAATAATTCCCGGGCACGCATTCGGAACAAGGGAGTGAACCACAAAATTAGCGCTACGCCGACTGAATCCCCGCGTTGGGCGCCATTTCCACGACTGTCTCCCCTTTTTTTCGATCACACGCACAAACAAAATCGGGGCCGAACGAAACGTGCCCTGATTGGCGGGCCACTGCGCAGCGCGCGCTTCGCCGGCGCTTCGCGGCCGCCCGCCAGTAGGCGCCCGTGTTCCAGGCGTCTGGTGCCACCTGGCGGTGGCACGCAAAAGCGAACGTCGTTTGGCGGGAAAATGGGCTTTGTACGAATATGGCGGGAAGAAAAAGGGCGGTCGAGGGCAGGTAGGAAATAGAAAATGCTATTGAAAACAGAGTTGAAAGATTTCTCGCTATCCTTTCTTTCAAACAGGCAAAAAAACGATGTAATTTGTCTCTTATTAAGATTTTAAGAGTAATTAAGATGTCTGCGTCCGTTTCCATTGTGTATTATAGTTAGCGCAAGTTCAAGAACCGTAGAGCGTAGCGGGTCTCACAAAACGTGTACTGAGAATCGATTGACAGCGGTACTGTAGCTGCTGTTTTGTGGGAAGGCACATTGACGGAGATTTGCATTCGGCCAGTGTAGCTGTACAATGTCTGCAGCGGGTTCTTTGCTTTCACTGGAATTGATTAAGGAGACGTGTGTGAGGAGATGTGTGCTTTGGTGGAACGCTTCTGAGAGATGTTTTGCATGTCTTGGAGAAAAACACTAACGTGCCTTTCGTCTTCTTTTTTTTTTTTTTTTTTTTGCTGAAACGTTTTGTTAGTACGGAGGCGCTCGTGTCCGCGCCTGCGGTGGAAGAAGCGAAAGTACGTACGCGAGTTTAACGTTCGGCAGTTTGGCATTCAGTGCGGCACCCATCTCTGACGCCGACTTGATCACCGACGTGGTGGGCCCTCGAAGGGGCTGTACAGCGTTGCCTGGTGCTTGACAAGATCCCCGATTCCATCGCAGGCGCTCTTGCCATCCGCAGTTACGAGAAAAAATCCACTTTGCTGACGTGTATACTTGTTGCTCTGGAGCTCGTGTAGCTGGTATTTGTTCTTAAAGTAGCTTGATCCACCATCACGGATGTAGGTCACATGCTCATACACTGGAATCTTGTCCTTAAGCCGCCGGTGCACCTTGCTAACAGCGTAGCATGCGTGGGCGGAGTCGTGGCATATGTCTTCACTTATGACGGCACAGCAGTGGGTTCATTTTCTCGTCGTGACCACGCAGGTGAATATGGAAACTCGACTCTTTTACCAGTAGTACGACTAGATTTCCTCGATTGCAGTGCTCTTTTTCGCTGGCAATTTCGTGTCACCTTGCGTGATGACTTAGGCCGCAGACTCCCGGCGCGATAAACAGAGGAGTGTGGGCGGAGTCGTCTCTTTGTATGGTGTTCGCGGATGTACCTCACACCGGCCTTTGAAAACGAGAAAACAGTTGGAGGACTCGAGTCTCGAGAAATTGGATTTCTCGATGCTCCAAACATTTGTAATATAAATTAAGCTGCACACAATATCAATCAACCGCAATTCTTTTTTTTTTTTTTTTTCAGTATCTTTCGTGTTGTCGTTGTTTTCATTGTTCCGCGGCGGTGGATCCATTGGCGCCCACAGGCGGCCCAGGTTCTGTCACGCCCTACCTCCTATATCACGTTACCGCCATGGTTGTAGCCTGATCTTATTGTGAAGTCACACCGGTTGCTTCCTTTACGTCGCGTACACGGAGACGCTACAGGCGGCCGTTGAAACAGGCACCGCGAAGCATGTTACAAGATGGCGCCTCTCCATCGCTCCGCCACATGGGAATTTTCGGGTCGGTTGTACAAAAATGTATTAAGAAGTTTTTATTAAAAACAACCTTCCGCCTCTGTGCTATCGGTTTGTATTTTCCTTACCACCCCGAAGCATTTTGTACGCTTTGTAAAAATAATGAGATTGGCATGAAATGGGACGTGCAGTGCACGCTTCATTTATAGCAACCGCGTTAGCGTCAATTTGACCAGATTTATCGCTATAAAACTTCAAAGCCACACAAATATTGCACTATGTTTTTGTAGATTCTGTTAGTACGTATTATAAATGATAATTTCGGGAAGTGTAAAGAATATTAAAGATGGCCTTTTTTTTAATTTCAAAATAAGGCATATTTAGTCAAATGCCCATGTGTGAGCAATTCTTGTAAATGTTTCCCGCTAACCAGGACAACATTATTTCATGCAAAGATGAAAAATATACAGGGCAACACACTTGCAAATTTTGAAGACGTTAGCTTTTATAGGTACTGAGAAAAAAAAAACTTTAATCCAGAGCGGTACTCCGCAATGGGCCGCATTTGCGATTTTGTTTCTCAAAGTAACGACCCTAAATCCCGGTGATTAATACCTTTTTCTCACTCCTTGCCATGCCTAATTTGAAG